ACCTCTGGGCTGAGCCCTCCAAAAAATGCAGCTTTAAAGTAAGATGTTGACTGATGCAAAATCAAACTAGAGTTTCCCTCAGTAAATTATTTTGAGTCTCAGCTGTGTGCTCACGTAACAAACCCCTAATGCCTGGAAAAGCGCTGCAGTTCCCTCTCTGGCAACTCTTGTGCTGGAATCGCTGGGGACGAGGAGCTGGGAGAAGGGGAAGCGTGATCAAAGCCAGACCGTTTCCTTCATTCTTCTAATGGAAGCGTACGTCCTGACGGTATCTCATGACTTGGAAATTCCTTGAGGTAACGGTGATGTTATCGATCTGCCCCGTGTGTTCCACCGGGAATTCCCCAGTGAAGAAGTGCAGCTGGTCACCTGTGGCTTGGCTTTGCACACCCGTGCTCGGGGAGCTCTGGCTGTACGGCTTCTGGCTCGCAGCTTTTTCAACAGTGATAGGAGTTTTGCTCTCTGGCATCTTTAAAACAAAATTATTGTGCTTACGCTTACTTGTTGTGAATTCCCACTTTGATCTTCCTTTCATCATCGTGACAGAATTCATTGCTTTTTCAGCTCAGAGAATTACTTTTCGAGTAATCTTTTTTTCCTCTTTTAACAAGCAGTGCTTTGTGGGATGCAAAAAAAAGAAAAAAACCACCTACTTTTTTTTGCCTTTTTTTTTCCCTTTTACTACACTTTGAGACAAATACTGTTGTGACTTCTGCAAGTACTGATGGCATCCTGGAGTAGGCTTTTTGGTTTACCTTGGTTTGCAAAATCTTGACTTTTCTCAAAGTATTGCTTACAATTTCATAATATACAGGAATATGCTTATGAAACAATTCTGATTCTTCTAATTGTTATGAGATATTGATATGCTTAACTGAAAGTGGTGGCTTAATTCTTTAGAATCATTTATTTAAGACTTGACTCAAAGCCCAGGGACGTTTTGGAGAGGTTTGCAACTGTTCTCAGTGAGCTCTTAGGCCTATAGCTCAGAACATCAGAGACGAGATGTTCTTGCGATTCTTCTCATGCCAAGTATTTTTGAACTGGTTTACTGCTAATGAAGTGTCAAGACAAAAGGTCATTGTTCTCTTCTAGAAAATACTGTAAAATGTGAATTATTGGATCTGGTTTAAATATTTTATGGTAGGTCTGAAGCTATTCTCCCGTTCAGATTCTGGCTGTATTTCAAACCCACTGTTTAAGGTACAAGTAAGGGCAGGTTCTGCGTGGCTGTGTCCCAATTCTTGCTTGGTTTGTACAGTTTCCAAGACCAGAAGGCAGGTTACGTATCTTTTTCCTCATGCACCAGCAGGGTTTGGCCCCCACTGTTAAGCTTCATGGCAAGTACCACATCGCTGCTGTTGCCTGGGATACCTGTGTGTCTCAGAGAAGAGGAAACAAAGAATCACCTTTGAAACTTCATTTAATTGCAAGGAGTGTAGAGGTGGGATTGTGTGTGAGAGGCTGCCCTGGAGAGCTGATGCTCTTTGAAAATACTGTAATTGGGCTTTTTAGGAGGATGGGTTGCTTGTTAACAACATGCCTGATGTATGCAAAGGAACTCGTCTTGTGATCCAGCTGTTAATTACAGGAACTGCTGAACAGCAGCAGTGAGAAGATGTTATCGTAGAAGAATATTTTTCCGTACATTTATAATAGAGATTATTTTCTAAATCAAATTCACCACTGCCAGGTTATGTTTATCTTTACTTTGATACTAAATGAACTAAAAGTTGGGGGCAATTCCTTTTATAAAATGGGAATCTTAAGTAGAAAAGAGCAATTTTAAAATACTGTTGCTGTTTTATAACAATAACCGAGAACTTCTTGATGTTGCATTTTTAATGCTGAGTTGTGCTGCAAAGAATTTGGAGAGACAAGCAGGGAAATTGTAAAACTAATGTTTGTTGTCTTCTGCCAGGAGTGTGTTCCTTTCACTCCTAAATCATACTCTGATGTGACTTTAAATAACTATGAAAAAAACGTTGGTGAATGCTTGCTACCAGTCAATAACAATCTTATCTCAGTCCATCTGCAGAGCTGCCGGTAGTTTTGGGGGACCTTGTCTTTTAATGTGAAATTTCTAGTCAGAATCATGAGTTGCCATGTTGTGCGTTGAGATAGACCCGCGAGGGACCGGAGGTGTCCTGGGGTCACTGACCATTCCAGGCTCCTTGTTTCACTTGATTCTTTCACATCTGTGGAAAAAAACTTATGTGTGGGGGGAGAACCCCAATCCTACACTTCACAAGATTGCTGGCATCGATATATTAATATCTTCCCATTTAATTAATAAAACGTGCTGAAATAAGGGAAGAATTTTTTTTGTCAGTAATGCTAACATTCCCTTGTCCTGCAGTGCTACTATTTATAAACAATAACGTGTTTATATAAAGCTGCTTTCATGTGAGGATGTTAGCTGCAACTTGTAGTAAACATTTGGTTGACAAGCTTACATATGCCTCCAATATCCTTTTCTTTTGGAGTGGAAGAAAGGAAATGATGAGCTGAAGTGCATAGATCCTGCTTCTTCCTGACTTGGGGCATGGGCACAGTTCTGTTTCTTCCTCTAAAAGACATTTCTAAGGCCATAGATTGTAACAAGGCTATTTTATTGTTGACAAGTAAATGTTAAGACAGAGGAGAACGCAATACGATCTCAAAACCTCTAATTCCTTGCGTCTTAACGTGAATGGAAATGGATTGTTCACTAGTTTTGGTTTAAAGTTGATCACTAGCTGATGTCAAATAGTTTTATTTGCAAACTGTCATCTGCCTTGAATGTTTAGTTTGCATTTAGCCATCTTAGCAGAAATACTGCAAGCTAAGGCATGATTTACCAAAAAAAAAAAAAAAGCCAAAAAAACCCCAACCCCAAACCAAACACGTACTGCTTTGCATATTCTTTTTTGAGGAGGGTGTGAATTTAGTATGTAAAGTACTGGCTTGTTTACTTACTATGCTGATACTAAGAGGATGAACAGAAACTTACTCAGTTACTGCTTCTATAAGTGAGCAGCCTAATTAATTTCTTGGGGCTTATATAGGTTTTGGAGTTTGGGTTGTTAGTTTTATTTTCAGCTGGGTATTGGGGGTGTGCCATAAAGTTGTGTCCAACTTCTTGCTCCCGTACCATGTGCTTTGGTCCGAAGGACAGCAGTCTGGATTAGAGCCAACCACAAGTGCTCCAAGATCTGCCCATTTTAACCTGGTGCCCTACAAATTTTGTAACTATGAAAAGCCTCTGTGCAATTGGGTGGGTTTTTTTAAGGGTAGATTTATTGTAAACTTAATTCATTTAAACAGTTAAAAGAAAACAGAGAGTGTGATATTGGCACGTGTCTGTGACCATAACCAAAGCTAAATACAAAGTTGAGCTTTCTGATAGAAAGAGCTAAAAAACGGGAAATTGCCACATCATTGAGACAAGTGAATTATCTTTGAGACTCTGTGATTGTGGTTTATGGCTTGATTAATGAGGTGAAGAATACAGTGTGGATCTAAAGTTTTAGTGTCCCTATTTCATTTTGAACAGGCAATCTCTGCTTTGCAAACAGATGGCTTTTATTGCAGTAATTAAGTGTGATGGGAAAGACTGGGATTTGGAAGGCAGTGACTATTCTGGAATGGCAAGCAGAAGGCAGATATGACTCGCTGAACCTGACCTTCGTGCTGACATACCAACGGATACAGTCCAGTTTTATTGCAGAGCTTATAACTTTGCAGCGTCATGTTAAAAACCTGGGGCTCAGTTTTTAAAGCTTACTTGAATTTTGAATCGAAAGCCTGCAGTGGGTCCCAAATGAATGGAGCTGGAGGTTGTGTCGCTTGTCAAATACACTTGAAACGCTTACAAGTGTGATCTAAAGACAAGTGACAGACCTTAATTTTGATGTGTTTGTGAAAAGCTAGATAGCTGAGGAAGTGATGGAACCATTGAATTCTCATCGTGCCTATGAGAAAACGGTTTTAAACACGCTCTGAAACCTAAAACAGTGTTTTCACAGCCTGGTCAACAGTCTTTGAACCCGAGGGATGCTCTCAGTGGACTTTGTTCAATATAGGCCCAGAATTCCACTGAATATGTGTGTGTATATATATATATATTTATTTGTAGACACTTAATTAGTGGCATAGAAACAGGAAAGGGGACATTAGCACGTGTCTGAGATAACTATTATTGAATGGTTAATTTGGACAAACTGATGGAGTGAATGATTGCTGGAGAATGTGTTTAACATCGAAATCTCTGGCAGGCAGTCAGGCCATGGAGGCAGGGAGCTGGAATGTGTTCGGGTTTTATTACTGTAATTATTATTAATTTATTCTGAAGTAATTAGATTATGTTGTGATTAAATCTGAAAACTTCTAATCTGACATCAATTACCTACAAAGAACAACATGCCTTAACCTTTAAGGAAAGAGGACTAAGTAAAATCAAGGAAACCAGTTCTTGTATTTATGAGCTAAAATGTAACAGAGCGCCAGGTTCAAAGACGAAGAGTCATGAATTCTGTACTTTCTCAGAATTCTGTACTTTCTCAGAGTTGGTTTTAGGAGCACTTTGGAGACAAAGGTACCACTGAATAAAATGTTTCGGTGCTGAATTGGTAAAGCACAGCATTGAAGAATCTAATCTTAAAGTTCTTTTCCCTGTTTTTCTTTCTCCCTTTTCCTGAAGTTGAAACACAGGTCCAAAGCAAATGCAGAACAAGCTCCAAACCATTAAAATATTAGGCTAACATGCAATTCCTATGACAAATTTTGAGGGACAGAGCTGGATTTTATTCTGTCACATTATCAAGAGGTGACTGACAGTTGGTCTGTAGTTTGTTGCTTCCAATCCCGTTCAGGTGAGTCAGGGTGGCTTCCACCACAGAACTAAACAACCGGCTGTTGGTCGCAGTGTAGATCGCTGGAGTCCAATTGTTAAACCAAAGAGAAAAGATTTTTGGTGTAAATAATGTTGCCTTTGGTGGAATGCAAAGTGAGCAACTCGAATGACTGAAAGAATCTGCTCGGAAGAGAGATGCATCACGAAACCCAGAACCTTTTCACGCTGCTCTAAGCTTCACGAGCATCAGGAATCCCCAGGAAGCCTTGAAATACTCAGCGCTGACAGGACTGCGGTGCGGGCAGCGAAGCGTAAGTGATAGTGTGGGAACGGCCGCAAAGCATTGATGCAGAGGTTGGCTTCCTATTTACTGCAGCTGTTACGAAACAGCTGAACAGCTTTTGGGAATCTCACTACATTCCTGGGTACAATAATATTTCTTTCAGTTTTTTATCTGTTACTTTTGTGTTCGAGAAGAACAAAGTCTGTTACAAATCAATTAGGTTTAAGCAATCCAAACCCTTCAGCAAGGATAGGGACTTGTCTCAGGTTCTTTAATTTCAGTTTGTGGCTTTGGGTACATATTTATTATTAAAAAGCATCCATGTGAAAGCATTAAGGGAGTTTGTTCTGGTTTACTTCAAATTTATTTTTTTTTATTTAGCAGCCTTTTTCTTCCCTTTCTTTTATAGTGGTACATTCTAGTTGCATGTCCGAACAAAGCTATTCTGTCTTACGAAATGAGTGAATAATGTTCTGGAAGGACATTTGATTTCTACAACAGCACAGTCCACATCTGTTGGTCTCATTGTTACGGTTTCGTGCTGTTCCTGATGATTCATGGCAAAAGGCTTTTTGTTCTGCTTCTTAATCAATGGCAAATGCTAATTGCAGAGATGTTCAGGTGATATTATCAACAGCTTCTATCTGGACCCGTATGTGCGAAGTAAGAGCTGCCTGTGAGTCAGAGGTGGTGAGGAAGGGAGAAGCAGAGGCAGGAAAGCAAGGGAATAGGGGAAGAGAACATCTAGTGTGCAACGTGTGTATGGCAGAAAAGGCAAAAATCCTAGCTCTACCTTCTTAAACTGAAGAGAGAAAGCTCTTTAAGCATATATATTGTCATGATCATGAGTAAAACACCATTTATCAACCTGGACGGAGCCTGAGACATCTGCTCTGAATGGACCAAGCTTAAGTGACATGAAAGGTCTTTGTAGCTCTTTATGAACAAGTTTTTTTTATCTATACGCACTTCATCAGAGTACTGATGGCAAATACCCCTTTTTAAGGTCAGCTCCTTTGAATTCTCTAACTGCCTGTGTGTGTGTGGTACAGCCACAAGTTGCTCTAAGATTTGCCCGACTGTCTTCCCCACAGGTATAGATTATAAGACTACAACGATTCTTCTGGATGGCCGACGAATCAAGCTACAGCTCTGGTAAGTGCGTGCTTCACCTTTCCTCATAACCGATATGTCAAAAGCACAAAAAATGCAGCTCTTTGGGGCGTGAGTTGTTCTTTATGCTTCAGAAATATTTAGTCGACTGAGGAAGAGTGAGCCAGGCAGCCAGCCCTTCGAGTAAGGCCCCATTTCGAATCTATTTCATGTAAAATGGGGGACCCTACAGCTTCTCTACTTGAGAGATGCAAAATAAATGCAGCAGAAAGGCACAAAACATTACAAGTGCTTTCAGGATGGATTCTAAGTGCTTTCAAAGATTATAAAATGTATACTGGTCAGGAAAACCATTGAAGTGCCCTTGAAAGCACACAGTGATTGTACAGCAACATCCCTTTCCTCAATTTATTAGCAGTAACGGTCAAATAAATAACCACAGTATTACCAAAAAAACCCCAAACCAAACAAAACAGAAAAAGCAACTCTTGCTAATACAATCTAATTGATATGCAATCTAAGGTGGTTAGATCTTTACAAAAATGTGTCAAGGACAAATAAAATTATTTTACAGCAAATTTTTTTTTTTACAACAAAGTTTTACCCTTAAGGTTAAATGTTTGATTTGTTGTGTGCTTTTATGTTAAGCATCTGGTTCTCTTAGAAATACTCAGCAATGGATACAACTTGAAAAATAGAGCAGGATTACTGCTTCTTAAATGCATTGTTGTCCTCGTTCCCTAAACCCATGGCATAAAAGACAGACAAGTGAGGTCAGTGCAGAACAAGGAGATGGAGTGTGATTTTTTTGAGGAGCCAGAACTGTTGAAACCTGGTTGAGCATACAGGGACATCTGTGCCTTGCCTTGAAAGAACTGCAGTTTAGGTCACATGTCTTCATGAAGTTTTGCTTCTTATCGTGTTCCTCAGTATCAGCTGATTTTGCTTCCAAGTACTGTATGCAGTGGTTTTTTAAAAAAATTTTTTGCTGCATGCTTTTCTAAAAAATCTCTGCTGTGTTTCTGTAGGGATGCCTTCACCATACTAGTCTCACAATGCACTATTGCTGCCATAATCAAGAATTTACACTTTCTCCATTAGTTCCCTTGGTGACAGCTGTTGCTTCCTCCCAGTTTTCTTTTGCTGTGAAAACAGAATCTTTCTTGACACTGAACTACAGGTATAGTCTAGTGGCACATGCACGCTTAAGTAATAGCCTTGGTTTGTCAAGGCCAAGAGTACAGTGTGAAGTTCTTGTCCTGCTATGGTAAGAAATCCGAGAAATGCAGAAGAAAGGGCAGAGTGCCAAAGGGGAAGGCTGCTGAGACTGAGAAGAGCTGTGACACGTTAGTGACTGCTGCTGCAGGACTAATGGAAGGAGAGCTGACACCGACCCGCACCGATGAGGTAACCCAGCTGAACTCGACAGAGAGGCTCCCTGCTTCTTCTGAAAATGTACACGATTTATTTTCTTTAGGGATACGTCAGGACAAGGGAGATTCTGCACCATATTTCGGTCTTATTCAAGAGGTGCTCAGGTAAGCCAAGCACAGCTTTCTGCGTGATGAGTGATGCTTGTTGGGTGGACGAAAGCAGAGTTAGCAAACCATCGTGATGGCTTCTACAGCTCCATAGTCTGGGGATAATGTGAAACGTGGAAAATAAGAAGGGGCAGGTTGTTCTTTGGGGTTGACGTTGAAGCAGGGTAAAATAGAGTGATATTTATTCTTCTGCCTTCTTGTTGGTTACCTCAGTAACAAGCGCGTTATCTTACTTTGATCACATGAAAGCCGTGCTAATACTGCTGCTTAAAACTGTGTGCCAAGGAAGAGTGAGCATCAAACTGTCAAGAGTAATGTGAGAAATACAAACATAGTCTAAAAGGTGATGAAATGAAATGACTTGTAAGGAGATCACTTAAAAGAGGAAAAAAGGACACACTGTAGCTCAACACGTTAAGGTGTTGCTATAATTCATGGCCTGTATTGGCTCAGATGAGTTATGTCTGTTACGTTCCAGATTTGCACAGAACATCAAGCTACCAAATGTGACCAAAAATATTTCCTTGTGATGTGTGTGATTAATCCAACTTGTCTGCTACAAAAATAAGTATTTACCGCAAGATGAGACCCTAAAACTAAGTCAGGGATTCTGCCCCTTAGCTGATCTGTAATCTACACCGCGCGGTGGGGCTTGGTCTCACAGGATGCTGAAGTTTTGCTCTGTTGAGAAGTTGCTCATCATCTTACAAGATTATTTCAGAATTGGAGAATTTACAGATAGTATTCTCTGTGTTCTGCCTCTGTTAATTTTATATGTTATATTTTTTAATACAGGGAGTAATACTAGTGTACGATATTACAAATCGTTGGTCGTTTGATGGAATCGATCGATGGATAAAAGAAATAGATGAGGTAAGGTACAGCCCCAGAGTGTCACCAGGCTGCAACAGATGACTAAAACCAACTGCTTACGGTATTTTCTACAGTTTTTACTGGCATTTGCAGGCAGTGCTTACTACCGAGTTCTCCAGGATGCCAAGTTTACAATTTTCGTGCTATGTGTATAATTCTAGAAAGTTGGAAACGTGTCAGCTGAAGTGTCTGATTTCTTTAAAGGTGTTGATGGAAAGCATATGGAGGGCAAAGATTTCATATTGTAGTCCCACTCTTGCTATAGATTTGCCACATCATCTGTGCAAGCCTGTCTTCTCTGAGGCAGGGATTTTTTTAGATCAGACAATCGTAGAATAATTTAAGCTGGAAGGGAACCCTAGAAATCCTCTGGTAAAGCCTGCCACTTAGTCTTTAAATCTTGGAAAAGCTTTTGTTGGTTTTAGTTAAGGGAAAATGGAAGTCAGGCTATTAATTTTGCATTGCTTTTCTGTGCTCAGCATGCTCCTGGTGTACCAAAAATCCTGGTTGGAAATCGCCTTCACTTAGCCTTCAAGCGCCAAGTATCTACTGAACAAGCACAAGCCTATGCCGAGAGGCTGGGCATGACTTTTTTTGAAGTCAGTCCGCTTTGTAATTTCAATATTACAGAGTCCTTTACTGAGCTGGCAAGAATAGTGTTGATGAGACATGGAATGGACAGGCTCTGGAGGCCAAACAAGGGTAAGCGATGTAAACTGAAAATGTGTAAATTTAGTCCTGTGGTTCATTAAGATAAAACAATTTTCAGAAACTTGGACCCTGATGGAGAAAATACATCAAAAAAGAAGAATCGGGAATCCGATGTACAGTTTGCTTTCTAAACTGAAAATAGGTATCTGTAGGCATAACCTCTTCTGCTTCTGTAGGGAATAATGTGTCTTTTCATAGATGCTCAGTCAGCCAAGTATTAAGACATAAATAGGAGATGGAAGCAGCAGATATTTTGGGTGATGTGTATGAGGGAAAGGGCGTGGGAGGAGAAAGGAGAATTCATCCTGGAAGTGCAGAGTGCATGCGGAGCGCTGGGTGTGCTGCTGCCCCGCGGCTGACAAAACATGCTGTTATAATGCGAGTTTTATGTCTGTTTTTAAGTACTGAGTCTGCAAGACCTTTGTTGCCGTGCCATAGTTTCCTGCACCCCTGTGCATCTCGTTGACAAGCTCCCTCTCCCTGTTGCCTTAAGAAGCCACCTCAAATCTTTCTCCATGGCAAATGGCCTTAATGCGAGGATGATGCACGGACGCTCGTACTCCCTCACATCCAGCAACATCAGTAAAAGGAACAGCTTAAAGAAAGCGAAAATCATCCGTCCACAGAGCCCACCAAAAAACTGTACAAGGAACAGCTGTAAAATATCCTGAGCTCTCTGGGGGGGAAGGAATCCCCTCAGTGATGCGTTGAACACAAGGATTCCTCATTTAATGGCTGAGCACCTCCTATGTATGTATCACACTACATAGACAAAAATAAGAAGAATAAGTCTTATTTTAGAGCTTGCTCACTGAAGTCATGCTGCTTTGGAATGAGTGACACGTTCAGTGCAACTGAAAGGATGTGACACTTCGCTGTTGGATTTTCATGCTGCGTTTTAGTTTCTGATGTGTGTGATGCCACTGTCTCCACTAGTAGATGTGTTTTCATATCAGGGATAATTATTATATTCAGTTCTTAATTCTATGAAATCTGGAAAGTGACTTACGGTGTAATTGTATCAAATCCTGTCTTTTTGCAAGCTGTTCAAAACTATAAAATTAAGTCCTCAGTTTGCATATTCAGGCAGAAGGTTTTAAATGCAATGTATTGTATACATTGTTAAATTCTACAAATGGTGTGACAAATTCTAGTAATACTGCAACTGTGCATTTGGACTTTTTGTAAAGCTTCTTTGATAACTTTGAAGCACTAACTTAACTAAGCTAAAAATGTATATATAGTTATTATGCACATACAATAAGGTTTTGTCCCATTGTTGTATGCAATAGATTTGATAAAGTTTTTTTGTATGTTATTTAATACTTTGGGGAATTAATTTGTGGCTTAAATACTTATTTTTCTGTAAAAAATATTAAAAATTACATTTTATACCACTGTACAAGAGGAGGAATATGCCAAAGACACTGTGGTGAAAGGAATATGACTTGAAGAGCTGCTTTATAAGGAAGAACACTATTTAAAAAAATAAATGTTTCTGGAAAAGAAATCCTAATATGTTTTCTTTACCTGGGGAATGTTAGTTTTATCTTCCTTTAGAAAAATTTGAAGAACAATAGACCTGAACTAGGCACCAGGAATGTGAAGTCATCCTAAAAGCATCATGCAATGCTTTTGATGTAACATCTGTCTTCAATATTGTTAACTGAAATATGGAAGAATATTACCTGTCACGTCACTTGTCCTCCTGAGTAAGAACAAATCTTTGCTGTGAAGGTGTAGCTTTGTCCCCATCTCTTCTCCGTGTCCTCACTGTTGCAAGATACTATCAAGTTACATTCCTGTAATATTCCCTCCTGATCAGGATAGATGTCCACAGCCTCTGTAGTCGAGCAAGTCGGTAAAATGCCACAGTTATGCCAGGACCTGGACAAATCCACCACTATGTAAAGAACAGTGCGATCAAGAACAAGTCTTCTCCTAGTTAAAGACTAAGTGGAAAAAACCAGTGCTGTGGACAGAATTCCGGCTGGATCTCTCCCTCGGTGAGGAGCAGGCTCCACCTCCTGGTCTGCCTGTGCTGAGTGAGCTGCAGAGAAAGGCTGCAGCTAGTGGGATGAAACTCTTTGCCTGTAGAAATTGCACCTCCACAGCTTAAGGACAATGTACACGGCAGCCTACAGCTACAGGAGGTTAAACCCGAATCAGAGAGATCCGTGCGTTGGGAGAGCTCCGGTTATGTGTGACTAGCGGCTGGCTGCAGGAGAGAGTTCTCTTCCAGGCACGTTGTTTTAAATGTCTTCCAAATGATAATCCTGGCCTCTGCATCACCGGGTCATTAGTTTGTTTCCTTTCTGTATGTGAGGTTCAGTAAGAATGCTCAGCTGGAGAGGGTATTAATATGGATGTGTGAGTCCTCAAGGTCAGATCCTCTCCTCTTTCTGCCAGCCAGCAGAAAGGTAAGGTACGCAGGAGAGGCTGGAGCAGCGCTCCTTGCTTCTGGTAATGCCTGCAGCACTCCCACGTGGAGCAAGTAAAGCCTGAGCCTGTAGTTAGAAAGAGGAAGAGTTTATAAAGCAAAGGGCTCTGGACTGCCTGAGGAGACAAAATCCTGTAAAGATGCAGTGTGATTATTTTATTTTATAGATACGTGAGGGCCCAGGTCGTCGCTGCAGATAGTGCCAGGACTGTGATTAGCCATTGTGAACTGGAAAGCCCTAGTAATTTCTGAGCAGAAGTCTGCAATGAGTCTGTCACAGATTTGCAATACAGCATCAAGCTATTGATACCAAAGGTGCTGAGCAAGTATAGAAAAGGAAGTGAGTGCACGTGAAGGCTATGGACTAGCTGGCATTTGTGGAGTGTCCGCAGAAGCGTGGGCTTTTAGCTAATCCTGTCATCGGGAAATAATTCAGCTTGGAAGGGACCTCAGCAAGCTACCAGGTCCCTCATCTTGCTTGAAGTTAACTTCACGGTTGAACTCCAGTCACGTTCCTCAGAGTCTTGGGTCTTGAAAACTTTAAAGTTTTTTGTTTGTTGTTGGTGGTGTTTTGTTTGTTTAGGGTTTTTTTTGCAGTGATGTTGAGGTTTCCTTTTTTTTTTGCTCTTCTGTTTTGTTCTTTGTCAAGTTAGGGGATCCCCTATTTTTAGCATAGTCCGACCGTATTTCTTCCATTCTTACTAGTTTGATGCTCCGTATGCCCTTGATTCATCACGGCTAGGCTTCGCGAAGGAAGACATGGGAAGGGCTCTACCCACACTTG